CCACACACATGCCCTCCCCAGGTTAAAAGTATGCCTCCCCACACTGTTATAACCTCTGGACACCCCTGTGTACTTTAAACCCTGGGAACAGAGACTAGTTGGGTTCCTGGTGGCTGCCTGGCTCTTTCTCTTTGGGCAAAGATGTTTAAATCCCAAATTAAAAGCTTCAGTTACTCGGCCACCAAAGTCGCCTTATATTTATAACACTGTGCATATTCACTTAGAATTGTTTCACTCCATATACTAAGGACTTAGTGAAAAAGGTGAAAATCTGCTAAAATCATTATTGTTAGAAATTCCTGTGTAAGTGTGGATAAGTCATAATATTTTAGGAAATGGTGATAAGGCTTTAGGAATTTCTAAATTGTGGCAGTAGACCACTGATGCTACCACAGTCATCTTCCCCATTTTGGAATAAAAGTATTGCCAGGGGAGGGCACTAGAAGAATTTTCTTAAATCCTTGATGATAATCTGTTTTGGCCCATTTTATATTTCACTATTGTGGAAGACTCTTAGCTACTCAAACTATGGACCAAAGGTGATCACACTTTTATTTCTAACTCCAGAGACCCAGGGTCCCCATGTCAGGCCTAGATGCTGCCCTAAAGATGTTCAGCCCTGACATAGATCAGCAAGATGCACCTAGCCAGGAACTTACACAGCATTCTGTTTAGTAAATATTTATTTGAAAAAACTCTTAAGTAGAAGTTATTATCCTTGTCTGAATGCTACAGGTTCTTTTTCAGTGAGTTTTAACTCCTTTCCGAATGAGAATGATGAAAAGTTGTCTCACATTCAATGGCTATAACAAAATTTAGCATTGCTTCCACTTTTATAGAAAAACTCATAAGAATGCACACTGTCCAGGACCAAGTTTTCTTATATGGGGCAGCTAAATCTTGAAATTGTACTTGTAATAAAAATAACACACTTTCATATATTTGTATATTTAGTAGACAATTGGGGGAAAATAAATATAAAGGAGGAAAATTACCTGTACTAGAATAAGGTCTAACCACAGTGAACATTTTAGTATATTTTCCTTTGTCTGTTTTTGCAAGCATATACAGGGTGTCTCCAAAAATATATACATACTTTAACAGCTAATTTCTATTACATTTTGAAGAAATGAGGTATATTTTAATAAACTGCCTTTATAATTATTCAAAGTGTGTATATATTTTTGGGGACACCCTGTGTATGCATGTAGAAAATAATACCTAACATAAAAAAGAAAAAAATATATTTACTGAATTATAATGATACTGTTTGTATTATTTTTGCTTATACTCTGAACACTTTAATGTCATTAGCTGTAGTTAGAAAACATTTTTTAAAGGGATATAATAGTTGTGGACATTATATTTAATTTGCTAATCCCTTACTTTTTGATAGTTAAGACTTCTAGAATAATACTTTATTAAAAATTGTAATTTAAACACAGATACCAAGTTCGTTTAATATGCATTCTTTCATTTGCATTTACAGAACTGGGTTTATAGGCCCAAAAGATCAACGAATCTTCCTCATTCTCAGAGGAGTCCTCGGTTCTACCGCCATGATCCTTTTATACTACGCTTTCCAGACAACGTCCCTCGCTGATGCCACAGTCATCTCGTTTAGCTGTCCAGTGTTTACGTCTCTGTTTGCTTGCATCTTTCTCAAGGAAAAATACAGCCTTTGGGATGCTCTCTTCACCGCGTTCACCATCACGGGGGTGATCCTCATCGTGAGGCCGCCGTTTTTGTTTGGCTCCAACGCTGAGAGGATAGGCGAAAGCTATTCAGATCACCTGAAGGGCACGATTGCATCAGTTGGGCATGCCGTGTTTGCTGCCTTGACTCTAGTTATCCTCAGAAAGATGGGGAAATCTGTGGACTACTTCCTGACCATTTGGTATTATGTAGTGGTCGGCCTCGCCGAGTGCACCGTCATCCTGTTTGTGTTGGGAGAGTGGAGTCTCCCCCATTGTGGGTTGGACAGGCTTTTTCTCATACTCATCGGGATGTTTGGTTTGGGGGGTCAGGTCTTTCTCACCAAAGCCGTTCAGATAGAAAAAGCAGGGCTAGTAGCACTAGTGAAGACTATGGATGTGGTTTTTGCTTTTGTCTTTCAGATTATTTTCCTTAATGATGTACCAACGTGGTGGACGGTGGGTGGTGCGCTCTGCGTGGTGGCCAGTAGTACTGGAGCGGCCATTCGTAAGTGGTGCCAGAGCTCCAAGTGAAGCATCAGTGTGGAAATGGGTATTTTTTTTTACAAGTAGACCGTCACCCCGTTCACACACACTGCACGTGCACTCACCTGGAAAATCTGCACTTACTGATTATATTTAATAAATTTCATAGTTTAAGTACCATTTTTGAATATGGTATGTCTTTTTTTTTCTTAGTCCTCACTGGAGGATATGTTCATTGATTTTGATTTTGATTTTTTTACAGAGAGAGAGGAAGGGAGAGAGAGAGAAACATCCATTGGGTTGCCTCCCTTACAAGCCACAATAGGTAACGAATCCGCAACCTAGGTATGTGCCCTGACTGGGGAATTGAACCTGCAAACTTTTGCTGTGCCTGAGGATGCTCCAACCTGACTGAGCCAACCAGCCAGCGCTGAATATGATTTGTCTTTAATTACTGAGGCATAGCCTGTCAGTTTGGTCTAGTGATTAGTTTTGGTTTTGGTCTGTTTCCTATTGGGGTAGCATTGGTAAGAGGACAGCTCATTCGTCAAAGAAACACTGCAAAAACTTTTATGACTCTAGTATAAATATATGTACATTTTTAAAGTGTATTTTTGGTAATGATGGAATATAGGTCAGGAGGAAATTTTAGATGCTCTTTTAGCAGTGTAGAGGCTAAGAAACTTACTGCTAATGATGCTGCTATGATTAGTACTATGTTGAAAATTCATTTGAAACATAATTCCATTTAGGAGGCCAAAGCTGAAACCTGTAATAAGTGCCTACTTAATGGTGTTAAAAATACAAATAAATTGGCCTTATTTTCAAGGCTTTTATAAATGATTATCACTTTTAACCTATATTTGTGCCTTTTCATTTTAATGCTGGAATTTTTATATGTAAACTTTTTGAAAAGTCTTTAAATCACCAAATTTGACTAATAGTTTCTCTTTCAGTGGCATTATCAACTATAACTATCATTCAATAATTTTAATTGTCTTCTGGTTTTGGGGAGTTTTTTTGAAACCGCACTAAGTTTTTTTAAATCACAAGAGAGAAATCTTGGCATGGCCAATGTGCACATTTCCATCCTAAAGTGTTTTCCCCTCACTAAAAATGTGATTTTCTATAAATTCCCTTTGAATTTATAGTGTGATGCCAAATAAAATTTTCTCAGGATTTTATTAGATAGAACCATTTGAAATTATCGAGATTTTACCTTTTTAACTTACAAAAACCATAGTTTCTTATGGTTCACCCTAATAGATACCTCCCTTACCCTCTAAGCCAAATACTTAGAGGACTTTGGAATATATATTTTTAAAACAACTTTTTAAAGTACAGTAGTTCTATTAAACTTATTTTTATAGTCTTTTTGCCTTATGGAATTATATATATAATAATACTTTATATTATATGTTAAATGTAAAAACCTGTGAATTCCATGGTTGGTTGAATTTTGTAGTTTCTTGATTAGAAAAAACAATCACTGTTAAATTCTCGTATATTGGTATAATATTAAATGTCAATGCTGCATCATGATATTAACATCATGAATTCAAATGACAAATTTTATATCTGGAACTTCATCAGGCCAATACTCTGCTATTAAAGAGAGAATTTAATATTTAGGAAAGCTTGGGAATTTATTCAGGAAGTGGGGAATACATGCAACTAATTTTTTCACAATGAACCCTTTATTGCTGAAGCTATAATGGTTCGAAGTTCTTTGTCAGACCTAGCACCTATTATTTTAAGTCTGCAGTTAGAAAAATTATAGGTTCTTTCCCGCTCTTTCATCACAGTTCTTCCAAAGTAAGAAGCAACTTGGCTTCTGAGGTTTATGCCTTAGTAAGAAAGGATCTTCTCCCAATAGTTCCAAGAGGGAATTTTTAGCTTACTGATCATTCCAAAAGCTCCCCACCTGACAAATCCTAAATGAAATCTATTTAGGGGAGTCACACTATCACAACTTTAGCCTAATTCACAATATTGGAGTTTAGACTTATAAAAGCATCATTTTGAAAGTATCTTAAATAATTATAGAATCAGAGCATTTTAGAGCTCAAGGGTTAGAAATCCTCTTGTAGGAACCACACTACATAGATAGGGATGCTAGGGAGGGGACCTGCCCGAGATGGGTTTCCATGGCCTTCTCCCCCCCACCCCCTTAGTTCCATGATAAAGTATGGAAAGTAAACCACTGCTTGACCTGCCTAAGGTAAATTAACTCTCAGGGGGGAACCCTCTCCTGGTTCTTGATCTTGCACAATAAAAGAACCTATGGGGCCTTAAAAGTTAAATCCTTTTGGTCTTGGAAACTAGAAGCATTTTATTTCTACAGTGTAGTTTAAGTACTTGAACGTCACAATATATGACCAAGGTTAGAGAAAATGTTTCTTCTCCCAACTTTTATAGGGTGTGATTCTTAAACACTTTTATAATGTCCAAGGTACATACAAGGATATGTATTGTAACAATTATGGGCTTGTATTTTTTGCAAAGATTGTAGTTTCTCTATCTTGAAAAGGGAAATATTTTCATAAATTGTTTTTATTTTATAAGTACTAATAAAATAATATAAAAGAAAGCTATATTTTGGTTTTTATGATGATAGCAAATGTGTTAGCTAATATAACTTCCTTTTTTATCCATGTGCTTCAAAATTCATTTTGTAAAGGGAGATCGACCTCTAGCCACTCAGCCGTGATGTACTCTCAAGTTTCAAACTGGCCCTTGGATACTGTCACATTAGATCCAGTATCTCTAAAATAAAGGCTTTAATCTTCTCCTCCAGTGATGGCTTCATTGTTCTAGACCCCCGGAGCTTGGAGCAGCTTTGAACTCTGTACTTTTGTTCCCATAGCTAATTTGTTACTAAACTGTGGAATGTCTGTCTTAATATTGTGTGGATTCATTCTTGGCCATTTCCGCTGGTACCACCTTAGTCCAAGATTTATCACTTCACAACTAAATTACAATAACCATATCTAATTGGGTTACCTATTTCTAGGCTCTTTCTTCTACGCAGATCCCTGTCACACTGCCATACTAATCTTCTAAAAGCCCTGCTTTCACTGTTACTCGGGTTCTCATGAAGCCACAACGATGCCTTATCACACACCATGCCCCATCACATCCTAATTACTCAGCTGGCCCTATTCCCACTTTTCTGACTTGATTTCCCATGTCCCAACACAAATTTGATACTTGGATGAATCCTCCCACCAACTCCCCCATTTGCCAAGAGATTCCTTCCTGTGTGTTTCTCCTGCCTCCTCTTCACTGCCCTCTGAAGCCTCCTAGCCTCCAAGAGCTCAGCTTGAGCTTTTGTTCCACTACCTCCAGCTTCTTCCCCCCACACTAGTCCACCTTGGAAGAGTGGATAACGTACTGGATTAGGAGTCTGACTCTCTGAGTGTGGTTTTATCACTGTCCGGCTGGGCAAGCCACTTAGTGTTCCGAGCCTGTTTTCCTTGTTTGCTTCATTTATTAAATAGAGTAATGTTACTTGCCCAACCCATGTTACAGATGAGTGCCACAGAAGAGATTCATACATCATAAGGAGGACAGAAACACTAAGTATTGAACTGTGGTTAATACTGTAGAGTTAAGCAATCACTCTCCTCCTCTTCAACATGATGCCTACGCCAGGGTCCTCACTCCTAAGTAGTCTCACCAGGAACTAGGTAGGAACAGTCTTCCAGATTACAAATTTCATTTGGCTCTCTCCTGCTAACAGGGAATTTCACTGCTGGGAAGCTCTCATTTCCTGGTTGATCTGCCCATGCAGGGCTGCCAAGGGTCACCAGCCTTTTTATCTTATGCATAGGTGTGGCCACCTCTCCAGTTCTGGCTTTAGCTCTGGTCCTCTGTATTACACCTGACTGGCTATGGGCATGAGCCTGATTCTGTGTTTCTCATGCACTATTCTCTGTACTCAGAATAGCTCTCCTAGCCTCTTACCTGTTCACCCAATAAACGTAAGTAGTCTCTTGAAGGTAATCTAGTGGGAAGAGTCAGATGTCCTGAATACCATTCTGCCCTCTGTCTAGGTGTATGGTGTCACATCCGTACTCAGTATTAGAACTGGTTATTCTAAGCTGGGCATGTGAAACCTGGGAACCACCCCAAGCACAATGTTATAAAGCCCCTTTCGTCATTATATCAAATCTTACACAGCTCCTGTATTCACTGAGAATTCTGAAAGACACCTATCAAGGACTCTCTGTAATCCACAAAGAAAGACCCATTCAAGGTTTAGCCTCACTTTGAACACTAGGTTTAGAGCTGGACTTTGAAAACCAATTCACAGAAAGCTCATGAACCTTGGCACTGTCCATCATCTGGAAATTGGGGATGGGGCTTTACAGCATGAGGGTAAGGAGCAGGCATATGTGGTGTCAAAACAGGGCAGGAAGTGTAGTAGCACAGAAGTCCAGTCCACAGGAAAATGTCCCACTGGGTTTCCTAAGGTACCATGCCAGCTACCATCTATTAAGCCAGATTTGCAACAATATAAAACAGCATTTTTCTCACTAATTTTTAAATAGTTTTTTCCACAAGAATGTTATTTATGTTAATATAAAATGGAATCATTTTTAATAAATAAATATTTTAATTTTTTCAGTTTGCTTTCAAACATGGTAGATATCTATCTATATATATAACCCACATAAACACAAGCTCTTTGGAGTCCTCAGGGATGCTTAGGTGAGTAAAAGAGTACAACACCAAGAAGTTTCAGGACTGCAGACTTAATAGAGTTATAAAATTTGAAACTTTAAGAAACAGAGATTAAAACCATCATCCAATCTACTAACTTCTTCATGAGGCTCTGACAGTCTGAAATGCAGCTAAATAATTGTGACCTGGAAACAGCTTTAATGTGGCATTCCATTTTAGAATTGCAAGGCTAAACAAGTCTAATCCAAGATATCCAAATTGTCCGCCCTAGAGAGAGAAAAGGAACAGCAAACGATCGACTGGCCCATGGTCAGAGGACCAGATCAAATTGTCTCTGCTACTTCCTTTATAACTGTTTCAGTTCCTTTGTATAGGATTTTAGAAAAGTCAGAAGATTGGTGCTGTCTGGATGAGATGAGTATGCACTGTGGTACAACTTTCACGAAGGGCAATTTGTCAGCATTTATCAATTTACAAATACACATACCTTTCCACCCCAAAATTCCATTTTAGGAATTTATCTTATACTTGCTTATTGCAAAATGACATGTACAAGATTATTCATTACAGCATTACTTGTAATAGCAAAACAACAACAACAAACCCTAACCTGAATAGGGTATTGGTTAAATAAGTAATGGTACATACATAAAATATAATGCTATTAAAAATAAATTAAGGAAGAGCAAGGGAGCTTTCTACGTATGAGTGTGGAACAGTCTTTAATTCTGTTTAGTGATAAAAGCATGATTCAGATAGTAGTACAGTATAGTAAGTGATCATTTGTATAAAAAGGAGGTAAGCAGAATATTCCAGGAGGATACACAAGAAACTTAGCACTGGTTGCCTTTAGGGAGGAGAATTTGGCAGCTGAAGGACAGGGTGGGAAGGAGACTTCACTTAACCCTCTTTTATACCTTTTGATTTTTGAACCATGTGGATATATAACTTAGTCAAAAAATAAAATTTAAAAACTGGTGGAACAAAAACAAAGAGATGGCTTGATAGAAAGGGAAGGAGAAAAGAAAGGAGGGGGTAAAAGACAGATACACATACACATATGCATGCAGGCATACATAGAGAAATGTCTACTGCTTTAACCTGAGCTATTGCCCAGGCTCCCCGTTACTAACTTCCTTTTGCTTCCTTCTCTTTTCCCCACCCAGTCTTAAATCCCCACATGCTCCAGGACTGAAAAAAATACAAAATGGAAAGCTGTACTTCAGCTTTTAAATAGAATAAAATATCCCAGAAAGCATTACCCAGCCCTGAACCAAATATCTGCCTTTCCACATCACCAAAAACATTTTTACTTGGAAAGAAAACGATCATTTATCACATATGCCCCATTCTCGATCTTTGTGTCATTCAATCCTTGCCAACTCTGGGAGATGGGTCAATTGGGAAACTGAAGTACAAAGAGGTCAGGTGGGGTCATCTACCTGGTAAATTCCAGTGCCCTCACTAGTAAATGATGAAGCTGGGCCACTGCCCTTGGTTTGCCTGACCCCAAAGACCTTGATCTTTCCAACACCTCCCTATCTGGGGTAGAACGCAGGACAGGGAGTCACTGTGGTGTTTCTCACTGTGGTGAAAGGATTGTTTCTTGACTCTGGGATTCGGAAGTATGAATGCTCTCTTCCTATCTCCTTCCCATTCATTTAAGAAAAGCTGTATGTGAAAGAACAGGAGGTGATGACAACACCGCAGCATGCCTGGGCTGCAGCAAGATACTGCAGGAGCCTCGAAACAAGCCCGTGGAGGTCTCAAACCAGGGAGGAACGCAGCGACGCCCACATCTACAGAACTGAGCTCTGGGCTAGCCACTCCCGCCATAATGTCCCTGTAGGTACTAATAACATTTCTGAGGGTGTAGTGTACCAACCAGAAGGGCTGGCCAGCCTCAGAAACAGGAAAGGAAGGTGGCTATGGCCAGCATGTTCCCACTGTAAAGATGGGATGCACCACGATGGTCAGTTCCCAGCTCTTCTCCCTAAAGTGTCCCTAAAAGCTGAGAAGAGTCTAGAGGTGTAGCTGTAAACATAGCAACAATAACCACTACCACTGATAGTATCCTTCATGTGTCAGCTACTGTCCTAAGTGTTTTTTGTGCTTCCTCTTTGAGGAAGAATCTTTATTGTTATCATTTCATTGTCAAGGAAATAGAAGCTTAGAGAAATTAAGTGACTTGTCCAAGCTAATAAGTGGGAAAGCCTGGGTTTTAAAATCCTGATTTTCAAACTCCAAGCCTATGATCTTGAGGTTGCTACTGTACTACTCACCCTAAGCCAGGAGCTGCCCATCACAAGCTCAAAACTTCTTTGGGGCTTCATGCTGTTTTTTAAATTAATGAAACTTTTAATATGTTATTAATGAAATTAATAACATATCTGTGTGTTTTAGTGTAAAGATATTATTTTAAATTACCAATTCAGTTATTTAAAGTTTCATCCTCCAAATTTTTGGTTCCCCTAGAAAGATGTGCCAAGTTATCCTCGCTTGTTGTTGTTGTTTTAACATATATCTTTACTGATTTCAGAGAGAGGAAGGGAGAGGGAGAGAGAGATAGAAACATCAATGATGAGAGAGTCACTGATTGGCAGCCTCCTGCATGCCACTGACTGGGGATCAAGCCCGCAACCAGGGCATGTGCCCTGACTAGGAATCGAACCAAAATCTATTGGATCATAGGTCAATGCTCAACTGCTGAGCCACGCCTGGCTGGGTTCCTGTTTTTTTTTGTACCTCCTGGCACTCTGCAGAATATCCCAAGGGACTCTGGAACTCCTTTTCAATAAACATGACGCAGAGATTAGGCAGTCAAGTCCTCAAGCTATTAAACACTACAATTATAAAATCAACACCCTCTATTCTTTGTATATGCATGTTATCAAGTATCCATGTGATTATAATTTGGCTTCTCATATACTTTAAGTGCAGAAGAGAATGGACCAAGCAAAAGACTGAGCACCTGGTTCCCTAAACTGTTATATTTCTCATTGTATATTAATAAAGTTGGCATCGTTCCACATATTGGTCTCCATGTACTTGGTTATTGTGATTCTTCCCAGAGATAGAGATATTGTATTTCCAGAATTCCTCATCCCCTTTCTTGTAAAATAATACTCCTGAATTAGTCAGGGTGATTATGCTAGTTGCTAAAACAAACCACCCCCAAATCTGAGATGTGCCAATATAGTTTTATTTCTTAATTAC